AATTTTTGAAGCCCTTCAAGAATGTAGAATTCACCATATTTAAACATTTCATTACAGAGCTCGTCCTCCCCTGATGTTTTTTTGATTTCAGGTATAGTGATTTGGGCATTTAAATCATTTTTGCTGTTTGTTTTGTTTTCAACAGTCCAATCAGTTTGACTAGTTTCATTTAAATTGTTTTTATTAAGGCGATTTGTTTCTAAATCAGTTGATAGACTGTTATTGTTTAAAAGCTTTTTAAAGTAAGACAGCCATTCATTGGGCTCAATTGAATTGTTGTTGTTATCTAAACAATCTGAGTTTAAGTCTCGTAACAGCTTCCAAAATTTTGATGGTTCACCTTCCGAATCATTTAGCTTTGATAACTGGTGCTGTTTTAAGTCATATTTTTTCCTTTTAATTAATTTTTTATATTTTTTTTTTATAACAAAGTATTTTCCCCTGGTGAACGGATCAAGGGGATATTGCTGAAACAATTTGCTAGCAGATTTAAGTTCATTTCGAATTTCCCAGCATTCTCTATCAAACCATAATTTGGTTTCTCTTTTCTTTTTTCTAATTTTGGGTGTTATTTTTTTGACAGTTTTGTTCGCGACTGATGACAGCAAAGCACTAAATTCTGTAACAACATCATCACAATTGTTTGAATCAATTTTGTTTATAATGTCGCTAATTTCGTTTTCTTTAGCAATTTCAAGAAGTTGCCTATATTTTAGTTTTGCTTCACTGTCCCAGATGTATTTTGCTGGTAGTGGTTTCATGTTCATTTTGACTTCACGTTTTTTTATAAGGTATCAACACAGCTTTTTCAAACATGACGTCATCGTCGTTAAATATGTGAGCGACAATCAAATGTGGGCTTATTTACTTACATATTAGCTTTAATATCTTGTCCAATCCATAAAACAGTTATTGCTCTACCAATGGCATCGTAATGACCATTGATTCACAGTGTTACAAGTGGTGCCAATGATCGGATGATTACACCCCAAAGGTACGAGTACACGCAGATGTCTCTTCCCCGATTGTTACGTAAAACAATTAAATCAACCAAAACTCATTATATGAAATGAACGAGAATAAATTCACGAAATTAGCAATAGCCGATTTAATTCGGCCAGTGTTATTTTTACCAAAACTATTTACTAAAAATATAGATATTGTCACGAAACGAATAAATCTCATGACCAGGATACGTCAAAGAAATTGCGGTGCTGGGTGTTCGTAATAATGTTGCGACATCATTGCGTTATCAATTATGTCAACGGAAGAATATAGTGTAATCATGAGCTGAAAGGCGATACGAAAAGGAAGAAAACTTCCCTATTATGACGTCACATTGGATTGTACTGCTTTTATTTAGTCAGTACACGTTTGCTATGGATCGTCAAGACAGTTTATCTCACCAACGTTTCACGGTCAACAGTTGAACTGACAGACTTATTTTCTGATAACAATGTAATCTGTAGACCTGTGAGTCTAGTGTTATGATAGAGATGTATCGTCTGTACCATGTACCATTCTTCTCCAACAAGTCCAAGTTCTTTTAATCTTTGTGAATACTTTCAAGGCTACACGGTTCGAAGAACGGATCCTATTTGATGACACACTTCTAAGTCGTCTTATACACTTCCAACAGACAGTTCGTTAGACAGTTAAACACATTAAGTCGTCTGAAGTGAAGTCAATTGCATAATACATATGAGGAAACAACATGGAGAAGTAATAATATCAAGGAACTGCAAACATTTTAATAATGTGAAAGTGAAAAAAAGATGGGAAATGGCTGCCAGTTGACAATTTAATTGAAACCCAAAAACAAACGTTTTCAATAAATTGCTAAGAGCACTTGAAAATACATTGTGTAAAAATAAACATGACTGGTGTTCTGCCATTTTGAATCAAATCACAAATCCCATACATGCATACCTGTGTAACATTACGTAATGTCTTCAGTCCACATTTGTACACAATCAATGAAAGTGCATCTGAAATACAGTTGGAAAACATAGAAGAGGGCGTTTTTGAATAAAGTAGTGTAACACAAAAACAAAAAACACAATATTATTTAGGTGATGCTAATACCAAGTTTGAAAGGGAAATTCTTGATTTTTGGAGTTTTATGGAGAAACAAATCAAAATGCATATGTATACCATTATGATTGGTCCAGGATTAAATGACACATGGAAAAAATAAAACATTTTTCATGGGAGAGTTAGCTAAATAGTAAACAAAACTGAAATAAATTGGCCATTTTTAATCAGAACATGAAACAAATTACAATCAGAAAAATAAAAAGGCATGCAACAAGGTCTCATTATGTAACCCATGATGTATGTGTGGAGTTTACATGCGATTGACCCAGCCATGTTCGAGATATAGATAGGTGTACACATGAAGGTCAATCAGTGCGTCCGAATTGGGACTAAAAACTGATATTACTGTAGCATTGCAATTTATCTGAAATTAATTGCTGAATAACTAATTCATACTAGCACAGAAATAAATATCTCATCACTTCTGATTAGATTTTGTTAGAAACAGTCCGCTTTCTTTTCTTGAGTAATTGGGAAAATATCTAGCTTCAGGTTATTCAAATTTTATCATTATTATATTAAAAGCACTATTACAATGAAACACAAAATGATGATAGGTCTCCTTTTTGCGAGTGAACAGACTCAGATTTATCTTGAGATCTGCTGCTGGCATAAAATGACGTAAACAGCAAAACCATAATACTTATGTCATTTTCTTTTCTTTAGCAGTGTGAAACTGAATTTACCATTGAATACATTTATCAGTTCAATACTTGCAAATCAAAAGATTAAAAGTTTCAATAAAGCTGCTTAGCATAACTTGGAAACAAAAACCAGCATTCTATAATTCTCCCAAGTATTTTTATTTTAATAGTGCTACAAGGGAATATTTTTATTATCACAAAAGAGAAATAATATGACCTCTTCAAAATGTTCACAGTTAATGAATCTTAACAGCTGTTCTTAGTTTTGCAGACCTTGCTCTTGGATTGTCGATAATATCTTCTTCTAAAGGCTCCAACACTTTCTTGTTAATTTCTTTCCACCTCTGTGGTCTATTATCATCCCCATCCCTTGTTCGATTTTCCCTCATCTTCTCTCCAATACTCATGCTATACTTCTCGCTATAGTCAATGCCTCGTAGAAACCTCTTTACGATTCTGTCTTCCAGTGAATGAAATGTGATAACAGCAAGTTTTCCACCAGGTTTTAATATTTTTTCCACTTGCTCTAAGCCCATGACTAACTCGTTCAGTTCATTGTTCACAAAAATCCTCAATGCTTGAAACGTCTTGGTGGCCGTGTGCACAGGTCTCCTTAGCTTGTCTTTCTGCTTTTTAGCCTCCCTATGTGAGAACGCGCATGACACAACATAAGCGAATTCTTTTGTTGTTGTTATCGGTTGCCATGTTGTTCTATACTCAACTATGGATCTTGCAATTTTCCTAGCATGCTTTTCTTCACCGTAGGTCCGGATTATCTTCGCGAGGTCTGCTTCACTCAAAGCGTTTACTACGTCGGCAGCTGTTGGCTGTTTAGGGTCTCTACAAAATATAAGTGAGAGTAATGATTGGATTTGCCATTCACCTCTAGTGATGTTTATACAGACATCAATTGTGTTGAGCTACTTGTCACTATGGTAACAGTGTTCAACTATGTTGATAAAATATGGAGAGTGAACTCCCATTTATGCTAATGATGTTATTGATATCATGACTTCTGCCACACATTTGCTTCACAGTTAACACTAAACTGTACTACCTGGGAATTACCAGAGAGTCAAATATGGAGATAACAGTTTATGACAATTCTGTCGTAAACTCCAACTGACTTGCTCTTTTACAGCATATCTCAGAAGCATTTGGGCAGTCAATTTGCAAACTTGCCAAGATATTGGCTAACTGCTTGGCAACTTGTGGCCACATCCACTATGTGCAACTCTATATTGCAGTAGGGGACATAAAATGTTTTTACATAACCTGGCACCTGTCTAAGATTCCCATCACAAAAGTGATTTGTGACATTATAAAATATGATAATGTGCAAGTAGTTTACCATTACCAAATTTGTATCCAAGTACAATTAATTTACGAAAAAAAAGTTTGTACACCTGATTCTATCAAATAGTGGGGTGTTCTGTCATATAGGAATTACGTTTTTCCCATGCCTTTCCTTGGTATATTTACTATATGGGGACAGCTATCCTGAATATGGCTTGAAGCTAAATAAAGAGACAAGTTGAAAAACAGGGTTTTGAGATTTCTACAGATTCCTGTTGTGGTAACACTAAGCCCATCACTAACAAAATTTGAAAATCCCTTGCATACGAATGCCTCGTTACACAAAGAACAAACACTTTCTCCATCCCTGATTAGTGTCTAGCGTTCTGAAAGTGTTATGACTGTACCTCCGCAGTTTTCATAATGGAGCTGAAAAGGATTCTTTGATCATATAAATTCCAGGAAGTCATTATAATTTAGTTGTTCTTCTTTCGTGTAACCCTACCTGTCAAACCCCATCCTCTGTACAAACACTAGGGTGTAGGGAAATATATTGCATTAAAATACAGTAGGGCAACCCTGTTTACTTTCAATGTTAGTATAGCATGAATGGATTACAAAATGGTTTATTTATACCACTACTGTGCCAGCGAGATTCAAGAGTCAACTGTTTAGTCGAAACCCTAAAAGTAAATTGACCGACCCAATACTTCTGAGACTTGGTAAAATGATAAAATAAAAAAAAAATTGTGTTTATCAGAGACATTTGAATTTAATTTGGTAACTCACAAAAAATACATTTCCAGGTTTACTTCTGTGTTTTCATAACCACTCTAATAGTTTTCAAGCTAGTAGTCTTCTGTGCAAAATAATCATGAAGTAAATACTTGATTCAGCCGAAAATATTTGTCAGCAGCAGTAGATGTACATTTTTGACCACGGAAAAAGTGTTTATGTGAATTTTTCATTTATTTATTATTTCCAAATCACATGTGTAAAATGGTAAAACTCCTCATAGCTTTGCGAAAAATTTATTAAATTATATGTTGTTTACATTTCTTTTTTTTCATTTGAAATGTGATGTGATTCTTTCATTACAAGTTTTTTCCTACAAAAAACATCATATCTGCTGAAGCCATGGGGACGTCATGTATACAAAAGAATAATCAGCTCAAAACAAAAGACTAGAAGTAGAAGAAGTAGGATTAAAATCAGTTCACTCTCCATTTTTTTAGCTTCATAGGGTCATCTGTTAATTGCATTGTACCGTGAAAGAACTGAAAGAACCACTTTCTATGAACTTTAGAGGGCAGCATTCAATGTTGAACAAAGGCGACATGTTCTGAGTAAAGAGAATCATTACTTTCTCTTCTGCTGTAATTGAATTAACCTGTGATGAGGTGTATCTATTATCTAGTTTTACAGTGCTGCCTGTTGTCTTCTGTGCTATTTGCAATTATATACTTACTTTTATTTGGTACAATAACATTGGCTTGTTATAAAAATAGTGTCAGTAAAATCAAAAATCATTAACCTTTTCACCACCAGTTCCCTCTTTTCATCAAAAATTCACAAAATAGTTCTGTTTGTAGTCACACTTGATTTTTTGAGTAAAAACTGAAAATTGTCTAAAATGTTGTCTGTTGGCTCCAAAATTAGGGTTCATTTCCAGAAATATTGAAGAAAAAAAATTTGGGCGAGAAAGTCTGGTGGTGAAAAGGTAAAGTTAGTGCACATCTTCACTTTTAACATGTAACCTACTGATTCATAATGGCTATCCATGGAGGCTTTCAGGAGGTGATGTACTAAAAGATGAGATAATAATGACACAAACAAATCTAAAATGCAAAATGTTGGCTTCTAACTTGTCCATGCAACAAGTACAACATGTGAAATCAAATAGCAATATGTTACAACTAGTGTTGTTAAAGCGGGGAAGTCATCACCTGCGCATACGTCAGATGGCCATAGCATGTCATTGTTTACAAACAAGCATCTATCCTACCCATGAACCTTTGCGTTCTTAGCATGTGTTGTTATCAACACTTGGGACTCAATTCCTGTGCGTGCACTGGTGACGAGGCTTATGTCATAAACTCTGCCCAAACTACATGTATACATATGCATGTACATACCTATCACTATCCATTCTCATATCTAATGGTCCATCTTTACTTATAGAGAAACCACGCTCAGCTGTATCCATCTGCATAGAGGAACATCCTGCATCCAATAACACACCATCAACAGAATTCAGCCCAACATCATGTTGATCTAGTAGTCTAGTTATTTCACTGAATTTACCTTCCAAAGGAATAATTCTATTTCTGTGAATGAAATGAATCAAAATAAAAATCAATTAATGGTAGTAATTAATTAATTAATAACAATGTTATACGTGTATATATTATAATTTATATATATTATAATATATTTTAAATCTGTGACATCATCTGATGAACAAAATTCTGTGATAATGTAACATTTTTAATTCCTCTGCACTTTTATATTAGAGCAAACATTTTTACAAAATCCATTTTAAACTGAAATATGACATCAGTATAAAGCACTGACATGAAAGCCAAATGATATACACGATAGGTACAAAGATTGTTGGAGCATAGAAACCATGGACTTACCCATGTAGACCTGACAGCTGTTTAGCGATATCTAAAGCCAATGGATCTCTATCCAAAGCATACATTGTGATGTTTTCAGCACATTTTAGAATCTCTGAACTATGACCTCCAGCTCCAAATGTCATATCGATATAAACCTGTAAAACAAAATCATGGTAAAACAGCTAAAGCTCTGCCTTCTGTCCAAAAGACATATTACCAATATACTGGTAGTATTCATACAAAGTTGCTAGCACCGGAACTAATATGGAAAAAACAAAACAATTCCGGTCAATGACTGAGCCATGCAGTTTGTTTGCTGTTTCACAAATTATGAAAAGCAAACAACAACTCATTCATGATAAAACAACATTAGAATGCTGTTTATTGACAAGGCAATCATTTTCTGGCAACGGAATAAAAATGCGACAAATATAAACAGCCAATCAGCTATCTTGTACCAAATACAGTAGAGCTGGTTTTGTTAAAATTGGCAACCCAAGCAGAATAGATCACGCAGTTTTTCAAAATAAAAAGCCTCAACAATCACCAAAACCATACAATTGAGACATTACTACATGTACAAATGTAGCTAAAGAAAAGATGAGTTTGTTGCAACAAGGACGAGGACAAGGGAGTGGCAAATCACAACAATTGTGCAACAGTTCAATTCTTGAATGGTCAGTCATGTAGAGTTTCTGAGATTTACTTTCAGAGTTGACAGTTTCATTATTTTGTTAAAACATGGTTGACATAAATATTTGTCACTTTGCTGACGAAGTACTGTGGAATACTTTATTTTCGCTGGAATTAATTTTCGCTGAAAAGGCTTTTTGAGCGTTTTGTATGGAATTTATTTTCACTGATTTTTGATGAGCTTAATGTGAAATATAGGAAAAAATGTATATTCGCTGGATTTTATTTTCACGGAATCATTCCTTCAGCGAAAATAGCGAAAATAAATTCCAAGTGAAAATAAAGTATTCTACAGTATGTCACAAACAGCCTGCAATTTTGGCATAACAAATTGTGGAAAACTGAGTGAAAAAATGCAGCGCTGTTTTTTTTTTTGGCAAAAAACTAGAAAAAAAGTAACCGTGCTACATGTCACCATTTCCGTCATTTTGCTCTTTAGCTTACCACGCAATGTTACACAGCATCTGATTGGATGCTTTTCCAACAGGCGCATCCAATCAAACTTGGCCATTTGTTTAACATAAAATACGCACGAGTTGGTGAAGTTGTCAATGAGTCGACATCAACAAACCGTGCGATCCCGTAAGTGCTGATAAAACATTATTATAATAGCAAATAGCGCCCTCTCAGCAATGTGCTGCTATCATGTCTGAGTTAATCAAATCAAATGTATGTCTTCATCACATATTGCAGAGTACAGAAACATATTAACACAGCGATAAACACATCGATATACACAGGGCTAACGAGTGTGCATGAATGGGGAACGGTCGAACGTCCCAAATCACATTCGTCCCAAGTCGTTTTGTCCCACAAGTTAATTCGTCCCAAAGTCGATTCGTCCCACAAGTCGATACGTCAGATTTAACTACTAATATGACAAATAAGCACAAACAAATCCAAACAACGAACTGTCCACGTACACGTCACGTCACTGGCATGCGAAATTGTTCGTTACGCCATTTTGTTTTTGCCGACGTTATATACAAATACACCTTGTATGCAACATAGAGTTATTAGTTAATAGAAACAAATACACCGTACAAGTTATTAGTTGATAAATACAAATACACTGTTCACGCAACGTAGAGTTATTAATTTAATTGGCGTGTCAGTAACAGTTGGCATAGAAATTGACCCTGCTCAAGATCGTAATGCTGACCAAAAATTAAATAAATTGGACGAATGTTAATTGGGAAGAATGTGAAATGGGACGAATCGACTCGTGGGACGAATGTGAATTGGGACGAATTGACTGTGAATCTGCATGAAAACAACATACGGTTCGATTCATGTACAATTTATACTATCGTTGAAATACAGTAACTTGTGTATTCAGAATGTACTTATAATTCACGCTATACTAGTATAGCAATTTGAAAAATAATTTTGTGCGGAAAAAAATAGTACGTGAATCGAACCGTCTTCACATTCGTAGAGGGCATGATATCCTCCGTTAAACATCACATTCCTTAATAATAGCAATACACATTCCTTAATAATAGCCAACCAAGCTGGCTTTCGAAAAGGTTTCCGCACCACTGATCATATTTTCACTCTAAAAACAATTGTACATAAGTATCTAAAGCAAAATGGAAGACTATACACTTGTTTCATAGACTTCCAGAAAGCTTTCGATACTATTTGGA